CATCGAGGCCAAAATGGCATCTATTTAACCTACGTCTTTTGTTTTAATCGTTCAAATTATTATCTGAACAACATCTTTGAGCTCTCAATTTTGTCAGACTTACATTAGGATATATTTACGGGATTTTATCCACAGTGGCACTTTTAATTGAAATTTTGTTATCCCTGCTTATATATATAGTACCGGGAAAAACCGGGTTGCATTCTGAATCAAATTGTTTGAATGTTCGGTTGTAAAATAAGAGCAACGGATTGTTGATTTCATCTGATATCACGACCAGTTTTTACATTGTAAGACGTCAAAATTGAACAGTTTGATTGAGAAAGAATAAAACAACCATAATTTTTTTGTTTGTCTTTTGTCATACTTTTAAGTGGGCTATTGTCGTCAATGTATCCTTGTTATGGTAAATTCCGAGGGAGGGAGGGAGGGAGGTGTACATACCTAATAATATGTGCTCACATGGGCATAAGAGGCTTGACATCCTAGCCCCAACTATGGGGCAGCACTGACCGTATACATGGTCGTCAGGTATCTTCTGGGGAGCGAGGCGGGTCATTTTACACTAACGCAGTGAAGTACTATTAAAGTAGCTAAGTCTTTAACTCAATATCATCCAAAGTCTTTGACATTGAAAACACGAATTATTTGTCAATTTAAATCAACATTGATGTTGTGGTCTTACCGGGGAAAGATGGGCTTCTGATATCCAATATTTAAGACAAAAATAAACATTTTACCATTGGTACATGAATCGTGTACCATAATGCGTTTCAGCGCCATTTGTAACAAGGGGCTCAAAGAACGAGGCTAGACATATTCCACAAGTCATGTCAAACGGTGACCCCATATTATTATCTGGAGAGCATGCACAATAAATACTATCGGTGTAGACTGGAATAACCAAAAGCTAGAGACATTTATATACATTCATATTACATTATTATATGTGTTGCAACCCATTTGTGTCAATTTCTAGGTCCCAAATATTGGTGATTTAGCTCCTATAAAACATAAATATACCTCGATAATAATCGGATCAAGGGATATTGAACTACAGCCCTTACCCAACTGCTGCTGTCCACAGCTGTAGTATTACCCCAATGAACTTTGAAGTACGGTATTAATTACTGTCAAAAACTCTCATCAGAAGATGAAATGTACATGATGTCAATATTGTCAAAAACAGCTTACGATGTATGTGGCCATGGTAAGTCAATGTAAATAATATAAACTGGCGATAAACACAAAATAAACGCCAAGAAAATAACATATCATTAACTATTATTTATGATGATTCCATGTCTCGGGAATCTCGTGAGAATAAAGAAAGGATATTTATGATAAATTATTGGATATTATATGATATTTCTGTGTTATCATTTTACTGGTGTATGTCTGTTTTATCCATATTATCATCGGCTATAAATTCTTGTCTTCAGTATAAAAGTAATGAAATCAAAACTTATACATTCTTACGGTTGATGGTACATCTATTTGTTTATGTATGAATTTTTATCACACATGTCCGAGAAATATTATTTTTTATGAGCGTATTTTTATATCGATGTTTATGAGAAGGCTGAAATCTTTATATTTGGGTGTTCAGAAAAAAAATTATAGTTTTTGGCGTGCAGGGTTATTTTGACCATTATTTATTTGTTACTATAATGCTCTGAAGTTAAGGGGGGGGGGGGTGAATGTTTAGCGCGTGTGCGTTGTATCATAAGGTCTGTCATAGCGTCAACTGGTATGTTTTCGATTCCCCGGTTGTACGCGACAATTAGCCGGGTCGCCCGTCCAACCTCGTGGGTTTTATCCGGGTCCTCCGACTGCTAAAGACACCTACGCGCAACCGAAACCTTATTTTCTAAATCTATGTCTAAATTACTATCTAAAGAATACCACTTTTGGTCTGATATGCGTTTTTAATACTACGAAACCGAAACCTAACATGTAATGGACCCTTATTTTTTCACAGTTTAATACTACGAAACCGAAAGCTAAAATGTAATGGGCCCTTATTTTTCCGCAGTTTACTGAGCGGGGGAGGGGGGTGTAATGTTGTAATCCTTTCTTCTGCCGATTACGATTACTCACGTGTAGCATTATTAGATAAAACAGCCGTTAATTATTCTTAAATTATGACAATGATATGGGTAAATTGTTAAAGACTTTCCGTTCCATGCAGCAAACCGAAATTTAAACCAGGAACGAGAATAGATTTTTCATTCTTTAATTACAAAGTTACTCAATTACATCACAGTTACCGACTGAATTAGATAGACAAAGTTGGTTTCGATAATTACTGATTTATTTTAGAAACATATTACACGAGGCAGGATATGCTTAGTCTTTTAGAACACTAGATACCACTACTCATTTATCAGGTTCACATACCCATGCATATTCTTTAATGCATGTTTGTATTCAAAAGGATATGAACGTCAACTACTACCCATATAACAAACCTACAAAAAGCACGGTATAAGTAATAAATTATTAAAGAGATCTCCGGTCAATAATATTTCTAAACCTCCTGTAAAATATAACATATGTCGGATAAACAATACATATTGAGACACGCCTGTTTGAACAATTGTAACCAAATGCTAATAGAAATAATACACTACAATAGGCATAATAAACATCCTATTGCCAGTCTATTTATTTTAATAATAACCATATCGCCTGACACATCTTTCGCTATTCATCGGGCCATTATGGAATGAAGTGTTCGATATAGGCAATAGTCTGCAGAACACAACAAGGCACCCCATATTTCAGTCAGAATATTAAAAAAAACTAAGTCAGTTAAGATAAGAATCATCTAATATTGATAGCTAATCATTCTATTGCCATGAATTATCGGCTGAGTGATAAAAGTGGACGACCCGCCGTCCCGACCACATGACACGACCGTAATGCGATAAACGGACGTCGTTGACATTCTATTAAACTGTCTTTTGACAACATCGTGATGCTTCGCTTATTTTCCTTGTCTTCGCGAAGATGAATTGTATTCAGCAGCTAAAAAGATAAAGAATGGGGTGCACTTGATTCATGCAATTAAAAATTATTATGGTGCAGCTTTTTATTTGTATTCATAAGTGAATGACCTGGGAACTGCCCGTGTGTGCCGATCAGTTCCAAACATCCGGCTTGTGTATGCAAGAGAGAGAGAGAGAGAGAGAGAGAGAAATGGGGTGTAACGTCCACTCGAGAGAGAGAGAGAGAGAGAGAGAGAGAGATTAACGTCCAATTTTATTTCAATTATTCGCTTGTGCGTAATAAGGGTCTTTAGCAGTGGGAGGAAACCGGAGGACACTGAGAAAACCCATGAGTTTGGAGTTCGTGTATGCAGTGTGTGTGTGTGTGGGTGGGGGGGGGATTTGTCAATTTCTTCATTCTACAATAATGATGGAGAACCAACGGTACAAGTGTTATAAAAAATGAGAATAAGACGTCAACCAACTATTGTCCCTTTTATAATGAATTAAGAAACAAATATAAGAAAATCAACTTCAGCAATCCCTTGTTAATTGAGCCACTAATATTGTAAGAGTTTTAAAATCATTAGACGTTCAAGATTTAGAATCAAGAATTTATAGACGAAGGACCGTGTGAATCGGTATTTTTTTGTTGTTTATTTAGTTAATCGTTAAAACAATGTGCCGTTAATCAGGTAGGAAGGCACCTTCAACCTGACATCTAATCAAGTGTTTAATACCTATTAAAATGTCATTTACTTGATGCAATAGTAGGGCTCTTCTTATCTGTTCAAGTACAACTTCACTTCAATGATGGTGTCTTTAAACACCATTTCAAGTATATTTTGTGTTAAATGAAAAAGAAACGTTGATGTCCTTACTTGATTACAACATTACGACTCTTCCATTTCTCATCAAGCACAGGTTGTGGGGAAAACAAGACAAGAGTTAATATAAACGGATCGATTGATCTGACAGAAAAAAAAGTCGTATAAACAAGTGGATGTCAAAATCTTCACGTTTGTATAATGTTGCTTTAATTTCATGTACATGGGTTTTTACCATTATTGAAATAAGGGAAATTAACAAACCTACGTGAGGATTCGACTATTGAACTAACCGGAGTTGATGCGAATAGGCTCTTGTATATTTTAGTAGTGTTTTTTAATACAAAAATTATTGTGTCCAACTTGATTCTAAAGTGTAGACTAAAGCATAGCCCCCATGCCATTATATATAGATGGGTTGAAGGGAAATTCCGGATTGTTACAATTTCCGAAATCGAAATTGATAAATCTGTAACGGTATTATAGAATTTATTGCCTACACTCCAATGACAAATCTTGCGGCTTCTATACGCCTGGAAAATCACCATAAATAACAATCAAAAAGGTTAAATAATCTACCAAACATTTATACGTCCCACGGATGTGAGAAAATGCTCCAAAGAGTTAAACATTCAAATAGAATTTCGTGTCCTTTTCTGTTGAGTTCTTATATTTAGAAAGAAACGGCAATAAAAAAAAATCTTCCGCGAAAGCTTTTATTAACTTATAAAATCTTAATGTTTATAACATAAAACTAATTAAAGATATATTTTTTCGCTGTTTCACGTAATCTGACAATTACTTAATGTCTTGTCGGCTAAATGTGATTGTCATACGGTAAATAAAAAAATACCAACTCTAACTTGATCACGAAATACAAATTGAAATAGTAGAATCACGCGAAGCTAGCAAGGTGAGAAGAAAATACAATCAAAACCTATCTTATATTTATCATATTTTGAAATTGATTGAAGGAAACGAACAACGTGTTAAAATAACCAGATTTGTAACGGATTGAATCGAACGCTAACATTTATAAGCTGTAATTGGTTTAGAGCACGCCATTATTGATCATTCTCCCCACCCTTTCCCTTCACCTGCTGAGCTAACTAAAGCAAAAGAAATCTCTAAATAACTTGTCAAACAGTCAGACGGACTGACAGACAGTCAGTCACACGTTTATTCGGGGGACGGACAGGTCGCTACATTATTACTATCAACCATATCAAACTACAGTATACATGCGTAAACCGCGAATCCGTGTTATCTTCTAAAGTCAATGTGTTCGAGTTGTTAAGCCAGTCGCTGTGACTGGTTCGCTATTTACAATATTTGTGAGTAGCTTTAGAAAATAGTTCCGGTGCGGATTGGCTAAGCGCGTGAACGGCGCGAGCTCGGGCCCGGGAACAAGCATAAGTACGAGTGTATTTATCTTTGTGTGTAACCAGCATTGCTCATTCCAGTACGGTTGACAAGACATATATATCCGAGTTATGGAGTCACCCACAGGACAGCAGATGAGAGAGATGCACCACCCCAGCCCATCCCCCGGGCTGACACCCGCGACGCACCCTCTCAACCTAATGAATAAGCTACAGAAGCCGATGAGTTACAGTTCCCCGCCACCGGTGCCATGCAATCCAGAAAATAATGTGTGTAAATTAATTGAATATCGAGGTGCAAAAATTGCAGCTTTTGTTGTGGACTGTCGTGAGCTTATATGTTTACCCCAAGTTTTTGAACTATTTTTGAAACATCTTGTTGGAGGACTTCATACAGTGTATACTAAACTTAAACGACTTGATGTTACACCGACGGTTTGTAATGTGGAACAAGTGAGAATTTTACGAGGTTTGGGGGCAATTCAACCAGGGGTCAACAGATGTAAGCTCATCTCATGTAAAGAATTTGACCTCCTCTACGAAGATTGTACAAACTCGAGGTAAGAACTAATTACTTATATAGCATGTTATATATATATCTATGTATATCCGTGTTTACCTGTCTACAGTTTACTATAACAATATCTAACACATAGGTAAAATGGAAACTCACATTCATCTAGATATAGTATTGATGTGTAATGATTTCTTCATGCAGTATTTAACAGAATGGTGTGGTTCAGATATCTATCTATTCGTAAATGGGAATTGTATAATTAATACCGCCTAATGATAACGTTTCAAAATAATCACCACCATTTCCGTAGTTGAAAAAATAGGATGTCAAAGAGACATTACATTGAGATATTTTGTCTCAATTACCGCTCAGTGTTAATAAACATTAATGAATTGTAAAAATAATTTTGTTTTTTGTGTATATAAGTTTATAAATACTGATAAGGATGTAAACAGAAAAATACAACTTTAAACAAAAAACGCGTCTTTATAACAACATCAATATTTCGTTCGATGTAATGTCTCTTTGAAGAGATAATTCGGAAACTAATTTGTGTGCGGAATTTATTTAAGATATTCATTTAAGCTTATATTCATCAAAATATTTTTTCAATGTCATGGGATAAAATGTCAACTTCTCAAATTTATTGCATCAAAATCAGGGGGAATATATCATCTATTTTTTTAAAGTTTTCTGAACATATAATGTAGTTAATAATTTGTATTTGCGTGATGTATTTGTAATTTTGAAATTATTTAAACACGAGACTAAACATGAAGACACCATGTCATAGAAGTTTTACAGGGGTAATATATTAGGAGGATCCTTGATGCGTTATTATGTAAATGAATCATGTGATGTCATGCATATTCATATTGAAATTTACCCCAGTCTTCTTTAGACAAAGAAATTTATTATGAATATTCAATTAATTACATTCGAAACTGGGCATTAATTTCAAACTCAAATAAATGTTGTCTTTTTTATTATTACAACAAAGATAGGTCATTTTCTGATATGGTTTTTAGAAATATATAAATAAATCGCTGAAATTGATAAAATTAAAAATATATTGTAGTAAGTCACCCATGGGTAATATCACAAATTCACAGATATTGAAATTGATAAAACAATTACACCATTAAAAGTTTTGTTTGGATTTCTATCTGGAATTTTAAGAATATACTTCTCAGGTAGACAAGATCTCTCCAGACCACATCTTGAGTTATTGTTATACATCTTAGCATACTTACATATACTCAACTATTTATTTAAGAGATTGCGATCTTAAACATGCAAAGTGAAAGGAAACGAACACTTAATAAATGTTTAAAATGTTCAATAGAAAATATCCGTACAGAGGTCAGATATCACAGTCAACAGTGAATAAAATAGTTATAGAGACTAAATCCTTGTCTAACTAGATTCCCCCTTCACTAAAAAGCCACACTTGAGATTATTATACAATGTGCTATTTGCTCTAACTGTGGGCTTTTAAAGGGGAATATGGTGGGTGTAATTTCAATTATAGACCAGTTTTATTTTTTCTATCGAGTACAAATCAAAATTTGTAAAGAAGAGATAAATATGAGAATAATATGGCGAGTGTTTCAATGGAAAGCGGTGTTTTCAAATAAAAGGGCTTTAACCACTGCAGTTGTAAAAACAATATACCCATACACATTTTTTCACTCCATCCTTTAACGTAAAAATTTAAAATATGTGACAGATTTTAACCACGTCTTAATCCAAACATTGATAAATGGGTTTTAAAACCGAGAAAAATGATGTTCTCTCGAGCTTCCATCATATTTATTTATATATATTTATTCCTTATAATAATGAAATATTATATTTACCCATGATTCGATACTAAAAACAAGTTCCCCATAAATTATACCTTTATATCGTGACTACATTATTTTAAATCATAAATCAGCGAATAAGGTCATGACCTGTTTGTTTTGGCAAAGTTACATCACATTTGTGAACGCTAACATGTAGATAGTCGATCTTTTTTTAGGGAAATAAGGGACAATGTAGGAAAATCTACACATGTACTCCAAGACATGCGAAAACAATAACATGTAATTGACAATGGAAACAAATGCCTTATCTGGTTCTGTTGCCAAAGTGCTGTAAGGAAATTGTCCATTGCGGTATAATGAATAGCGGCTTGATGGAATACAATAATATTGCATAGTACGCATTACATTAATAAATATCCCGGCAAAAATTGACGTTGGTAATCTTGTAGATATCAAATCAATTGTCATGGGAAAAATATGACATCCTAAATGTATTACTGTTAGAATTATTTTATTGTTACCGGCTGTGTGATTAATGTGGATATAATACAAGATACTGAGGAATTCTTTTCACCAGAATAAATATATCACATTAAGAAAAATGAAGATTAAAATATTGTATTTATATGTATAGGTCTGTAGGTTTAGAATTTCAATAAAAGCTCAATAATAAAATAGAAACTTCTTTAGTATTCTTTCTAGCAAATATTTTTCTTATTCTTTTTGTATTGAATTTTCGATTTTCTGCTATCGTCTGCTACTGCGACACGACGTACCAACAGAAGGCTGTATTGACGCTTATCCTCCAAAACTAACAACATTCAAATTGTGTATGATGAACCCATGTTTTCATTTATGAAAATCAAAACAGTGAAAACACGCATAATATACTTTAAAAGAGATAGATCCCAAGACAATGTCACGAAAGGATGACGGCTATGTTGCGTCTACCTCAGCGTTCTGTGTCGCACATCTGCCGAAAGCCCCAAGCAATAAGTAAAATAAAGGGAACAGTGACGAGTTTTACAGGACATAAGCACGTAAATATAAGAATACAAAAACATCGTCAATTCTAAAAAGTGAAACTTGTTTGAATTGTCATGCGTGTTATTAGTTGTTTGTTATAACAATATTCGTTTGGACTTGGTGTATCTTTCTTCTATTCTCTTCGTTGGTCAACAGCGTGTTCCACTGTAAGACTATGAATGTGTGTTAGAAACATGTTAAATATTGACAGGTGGGGTGATGTAGATTACATAAACACTTGTATATTTATATCTATACTTACTGACTTCATGCCCAATGCCTTTAAAATATATTATATTCAACAATGCCATTTTCACGAGTTCAAAATTATCCTGAACAATTACTCAGAGACGGTTGACGTGCAAACTAAGGAATAACGTTGAAATATTATTTGTAATGCGTTAAAAACTAAGGAGTAGCTTCGTAATGTCATTTGTAATGCCTAAGGAAGGATGTAATGTTATTTGTAATGCGTTAGAAAACTAAGGAATGATGTAATGTTATTTGTTATGCGTTAGAAAACTAAGGAATGATATAATGTTATTTGTAATGTAGTGCGTTAGAAAACTAAGGAATGGTGTAATGTTATTTGTAATGCGTTAGAAAACTAAGGAATGGTGTAATGTTATTTGTAATGCGTTAGAAAACTAAGGAATAACATTGTAATATTTTGATGCGTTAGGAAATTAAGAAATAATGTTGAAATAATATTTGTAATGCGTTAGAAATCTAAGGAATAGCGTTGTAATGATATTTGTAATGCATTAGAAAAATTAGAAATTTGTTTATAATTTTGTTAAATTTCTGTTCAATATATAATCGCAAATGGAGTTCGTCTCCTGTATAAATTGTCACAATTTGAGATTTTTTCTTTTTACAATTTTAGCGCCATTATTGTGTAATCATGTTGACATTGCCAATTTATCTTAATTCGTAAATTTCGAAGATTTGAACGGGACGTGGAGGTTTGGTCAGATAGCTTTATGTCGTAATAAGCCCCTTATTATGGATAATTTTTTTTTGCTTCTGAAGATGTCAAAATGTCGATGTTGTGAAAGAAGAAAGATAACAATGAGCCTGATGTTATGAGTTAGCCTATTAAATATATTATCTTTCCTTGATGCCAATACCCCTAACTAATGTCAGTTATATCATTGAGCCCTTGAGTCAATCCACAGATGCGGGAGTTGATCATTTTGGGATTATCGGGGATTAACTGGGTCCTCGGAGTCAGGGGATAATGGAAGGGGATTAGCAGTAAACACGGGATGTAGATTAAACAGTAAAGCAGATACTTTGTTTTTTTGGTGTTATCGTATTTAGAAGGATAGAATTGCTACATATATAAATAAACCTTAGATATTACACGTGCATTTACGGGGATAAAACTATGGATCACCAAATATTAATAAAGCAGTTTTTATGATCTTAACAGATTACCTTATCCACTATTATACTTAATGTGATAAAAGGATGGGACTCAGCTTTTTATTTACAAACGATAACCGTTGCCGTTTACAGAACCGTTTGTTCCTTCGCCAACCAGTGTACAATGAAATTGTAAAGTGGCATCAGATGTTCTGGAATTAGTATCTATACACTGCATCCACTACCGTACCTTTAATCTGCAATATTAAATCTAAGATCACACAATTTCTTAAGGATAATACATTTCGATTCTTGGTCTTCGTTACTCCATTAATGTAATCTTTAATTTGTGTTACCTTAGGTCGCTAATTGAACGGAGTTTCCCTTTAAAAGATCCGTAAACACGATAAAAAATAATGTGTACATATAACGTAATTAGGATAAAAAGAAGTAATTGTTCGGTAATAGTGACATAAGACCTACTATTACAAGGTAATGCGATGCTACGTTTTACATTGTGCGTATATCATAATATTCCTTGTAAAATCTAATGCTTTCTTAAGATTATCTTTCACGATAAATACATTATCTACATGCTAACTAGATGTTAATTCTAAATAATGTTAACTTGTGGCTTATCTAGCCGCAACTCTCTTAAATATTGGTGATTTGTAGATGGCGCTAATGTGACAAAGAAGCAGTAGGCGATAATATGGGTTTTTGCGTTGAAATCTTCTGCATCTATGAAATGATTTGCGAATAGAAAACGTTGTGAATAATTATTACATGTGATTCTATAGGCATCGGTTTATAAAATATAAGTACAAAACATTTATGAATA